GCTGGCCTGGGAACGCCTTGGCATTCCCCCGGAGGAGCTGGAGGAAGTGTCTGGAGAGAGGGAAGTCTGGGCATCTTTGCTTAGACTGCTGCCCCCGTGACCCGGTCCCGGATAAGCGGAGGAAAATGGATGGATGGATGGACTGCAATGCAGATAAGGAAGAAGACATCGGTGGAGATGGTCTGTACAACCAATGAACCAGCTGAGGAAGAATGAGGGGGGTTTCCTGTGCTTTTCCAGCTACTGAGAGGTGTGAACGATGAAATGCAATGCAACCAATCACAATTGTTGCTGTCTGCATCCCCATGACATGTAGCTGCACACACTACATGTCAGGCTAAAGCGTAGGGTATGAGGCTATACATTACCTATGCCATAGCTACTGTGTAGATTTGACACAAAATCATAAATCAGCCTTAAGTCAATAAGTGTAATCAATCAAAACACCTGCAAAATGAGCACAAACTTGCCGAGGAGCAATAATTTCAGCTTTGTCCTCAGTCTGTCATACATTACCAGTTTGTGTTAACCTTAGCAAGCTTATTAGTTTGTTATGAACAAGATAGAATAAAAAGATGACTGTATGTAGCCTAAAGGCCTTTTCACACCGAACGCGACGTGAATAAGCGAGACGAAAAAGCGAAAAAAACGCAGGCGAATTTAACGCATCAAAAGTATTCACACCGAACGCGACATGAATAAGCGACATTTTCTGAAAACGTCGCGCTACAAAGATGGACTCCACATCAAGCGATGACGATGTACTGCTTGTCCTGCTACATAAAAAAGAAAACAAAGAAGGTTTTGGGTCCATCCTATATTGAAAATAAGGAGAGAACATGGCGAGTTTCATCGGTTGGTACAGGAACTGAAGTTGTATCATGGTCGCTTTAGGACGTATTTCAGGATGTCTGTGGGACAGTTTGAAGAGTTGTTGGTGCTGTTGACCCCCCACACGATGAAACAGAAAAAAAATTACGATCGACCCAGAACAGCGCCTGGCCGTGTGTCTGGCGTAAAAAAAAAAATTTGTTTATTTGTAATGAAATCAGTTTAGTTCACAAGCAAGTGAAGATCCTCTGCTATCCGTCTCCATACTGTGGCGAACCTGACCGGCCGCTGATGTTCATGTGTTCTGTTGTGTGCGAGTGGGTTTGACAATGTTATTGAAGGCTGTTCATGTATTGGTTACTGCTGTTGTCTGCAAAATGCCGCGCTGTTCTGGCCAATGTGGGATGGGGGGAGGAACAGGTGCGGGAGGAGATAAGAGGGATGACAGGTGGGCGTGTTGTTTTAGATTCTGTTGGCACGGGACACGGAATGCCCCGAGGGAATGTTGTTACTGTTTTCAGTTTGCTATTTCATTCTCCTGTGAGCACACGGTGCCAGGTAAATCACAGTTATTTTGCTTTCTCTGTTCTGCTCAATAAAACCCAAGAAAAGACAAAGAAGGTGTCTCAGTGTAGGACAGGCTCGGGCCAGCTCCTCTCAACCTAGCTAGCGGTCGTCACAATACGTTATCTTTGTATTCATTATCTTTGTAGTTTTTGTCCTTTTTATCATAGATAACTGAATTCGCTGAAACAAATTTAATTAAGCGGTCCGCCATGTTGAATTTGACATGTCAACAAGCTGCATTGTGATTGGTCAGAGGTGCTGCCGTCGCCGAGACGAGTTGGAAAAATCGACCTGGAGGCGAAAAAAATTTATGTCGCTTTTCGCGTCGCGAAATTACGTCGGCGGTGTGCAATGTATCATTGACAAGTTATTGGTTCGAAAAATATTATTGACGCGCGAATAAATCGCGCGTTAAATTCGCGTCTGGTGTGAAAGGGCCTTTACTGTTACGACAGGGAGCGAAATGGACGTGGCTGTGTTGTGGTGAGCCTAGCAGATGTTTTAGGTTATGACAAATAATATTAATAAGCTGAGGTAGCAAAGTTTTATTTGTAAAATAAACACAGACTGATAGTCTTGGTAGTTTTAAGTTTTTTTGATTTCAGTTGAATTGTATTTAAAAATAAAACCCACTGTTAAAAGAGAAGTTTAAGTTAATCAAACACACATTTTCAAAGTCAGTGTGTAATTATGTTAAATAATCCTGATCTCCTTATTGACCAAAATAATTGTGATTATATTTGACATTATCATGCAGCCCTTCTTCACCCATTGCTGGCTGGGATTGGCTCCAGGCCCTCAGGAGACAGGTGTGAGATGTTATGGTTTTTACTTTCTAACCAGCAGTCAGTTCTTTTAACCGTGACCAGTCCCTAACCTTAGCCCCATGTTTACAATTGTAGCCATGATAAAAAAGGTTCTCTAACAAACAATGAAAAAGCAGCTTAGTAGAACTGAATAAAATGTATGAATTCTGAATTTTAATATTTTTTTTCTGGTAAACAACCCAAAAAGAAGCATAAGAAATTTAGTTTAGTTTAGTAGGTTAAGTATGACAATGTTGCATAACAATGCTGTGGAAATAAAGATTACAAATATGTTAAAGAAACTGGTAAACATGGAAGGAAGTACTGAGTTTGTGCTAACAGACAGCATCGACAGAAAATAGCAACTGGAGCAAACCAGAAAAATGCATTTCAACACAGCATAAATTACAAATGAAACTACAAAAGGCCAGTCTCTAATGTAAATCTGTTTCAAATAAAGGTTTGTCTCTTCCTACAGTTGAGGTCTTTGCTGCTGTTTGCCAGTGTATTGTACTAGTACATTTTCAGACTGATATAAAATGTGTTAAAAAAAGAAGTTAGGGAAAATATTTTCAAACTTTCTGATTGGTGATGGCACCTGTTCTAGGTGAAATGACATCTTTCAGTGTCATTTTACAGCTAATTGGTTTATAGTTGAAATGAATTCACTTGCTTTGACCTGACTAGATTACACTGAGGCAAAATGAATGGAGCTGAGCTGATCAAAGAATTAAAGTGAGAGCTGCGACAGAGTCGGTGACTGCGCTCTGAGCAGCTCTGTCACAGTGCTATATTTAGCCAACATACACCAACAAGCCCCACAGCAGTAGACACGCACTGACCCCTGCCATCTGCTCGCTCTCTCTCACACACATTCATAAACACACATGCACTCATGTATACAGTCATACACCTTAAGGTTTTAATGCAAACTGCTGCCCACAGACCCTCCCAGGTAAACCCAGGTGGACCTATTATTCTCCTCACAAGCTGGTCTTACTCACACACACACACACACACACGTACAGGGGACTCCCCACTTTGTTGCCGTGGTGATAGTCATTAGTAAATTTTCTCATTATGGTGGCTACACATACTGTATGAGTATACAACAGCAAGGCTTCTCAAAGACTCACTGTGAGAACAGAGAGCTATTGGGAACCATTTTAATGAGCTTGGCTTTATGTGTGTGTCTGGAGGTTGGGTCTGTGTCTACACAGTGTGTACACACATCTATCACACACACAGTTTTCTCCCTCACACTGCTTCAGTTTTGTTAAAAGGACAAAATGACCCCTCAATATTAGTATTAGTCTTCTTTCTCTTCACATTTATATTTCTGGTCTGAGGCCCGCTATTATTCTTATAATAGCTGTGCCTCAAAATACCAGTGTTCACGCTATCGGATGTTCTATTTCAAATGTAAAAATTTTCTACCACCTCCTGTAGCCAGAAATGAGAGAAGACTTAATCTGCTGCCTAAACTGAGATGTCACACCACTGTGTCTCTGCATGGAAAATCTGTTTTCTACACATCTATTTTCTGGTTTAATGCAATACCAAAATAAAGAAGCTCTCAGATCACTGTCCTCATAATGCCATAGAAGCCATATTCCCATGATGGTTTGACCCTCATAATACCCCTGGCATTTGAAACCGCACTGATATCATTAATAGTTTGAAAGTTATTCAAGAAAAACAATATTTTAGTAATGGTGGCTTTCTCAAGGATCTAGCTCATTAACATTTGAAGATACATCACATCTTTTTGAACCCTGTTGAATCAGCAATTTAAGCTAGAATTTGATCTTAGTTGCAAGTGTGTAGCATTATTTGTTATCTCACAGTAGCAGGTTTCCTGCGTGCCCTATAAATATGAACATTCTGGATCACCATATCCAGAATATTACTTGGATCTAGATCAGACTTTGGTGTGTGGTACATCTTATACTGCTATTACTGTGAAGTTTCTGTCTGTGCATTGTAAACATTGTGTATAGAGTTACATGCAAAAATATTGAAATTGGCCCTATCTCATAATGGCGAAGAATCCTTTAATAAATCCCTGGATGCAAATAATAATCTGGATCAGCACCAAAATCTAATGGACTGCTCCGTGGGCCATATCCTACATCACCAAAAACTATTCATTGCTTTTTGAAATATGTTGTGAACAAACTAATAAACAAATCAACAAATGCTGGTAAAAACGGTCATTGGTGAAAAGAGAGAAAGAGAAAGAGAGTGTTTGGCTATAAAAACAGAGAACAAACATTTTGCGTCAGCACTGAGTACGGTAGCTTCGCATTCGACATTTTAAAGGAAAACCATTCATTGAGTTTAGATTGATAAGATTCAGTTTTGTTTTTGAACTCTTTTTGTCAGCCTGCTCTATACAAAGGATCTTTTTCTGTTACAAATCCCTCTGGTCATGTGTTTACACCAGACATCAGACAAGTCAGTGATTTTGCATTGTATTTAAGGGTCCGGGGAGCTTTGTCTCCTCTGGTCTTAAAAGATTGGAGCATCGGGGTGAAGATGACAGTGTTGCTGTCCTCACAGGCATGCAGCCTATTAGACAGGCAGACTGACAGTGCAGCCTAGTGGCAAAGCAACAGAGCCTCACACATGAACACACAGTGCAGATCAATGACAACAAAGAATAATCACGTCTGCCTGAGCAAGATGCATATCACTATGCATTTTTGTATTTGTATTTATATGTGTGTCTTGCTTGTTCCACCCTTTACTGGGACATTGCACGTAGGCACAAGGCTCCCCTGTACATGCTGTGGAGGGAGCATTATAAACTCACACAGAAACCCTTGTGTCTCCAGGCCTGAGGGGGGGTGTTGTGGACAGGGCTTGGTAGGCACAACGCTGCCAAAGTTTGGCCTGGACACTCATTTCAACTAACCTCCATCTCCTTCTCTTAGCAGGCCAGCTGCATGTATGTTCACACTCAATATTCATGGACATCGCTCACTCATGGTCTTAAGTATTTTGAAGGGTGAGTAAAGTCCTTTTCTTCCTGTTGTGTGTGCATGCAAGACAAATCAAGCAGTCCCTGCAGTGACACTTCAGCAGCAGTAGCCTTGTCAGGGTGGCAGCCAAGCAGTGACAGTGTTGTGCTGCTATGTCCCAAGACTTACAGGGCATATAGTTCAGTCGGGAAACTGAGCATGGCAGCAGTGCTAGCAGACCTCTGAACACGGCGGTGACACACACATCCTGTACACATTAGAGCACTGTTACAACTTCAGAGATAAACTTGACACAGTAAGAGGGCAAAGTATATAAAATATAAACCACTATAAGGCAAAGAACAAACAGATTTTTTTTTTTACTCCTTAAAAAAATTATACGCAATTACTTATTTAAACTAATACATAGATATGTACTTTAAAATGTGTATACAAATAACATTATTAGTGTAATAGTAGTACAGTTGGTAATAGTAGTTGTTCCATCAGTTTAAACCAAGTACAAAATAGACTATTGTAACAACTAGTAGTAGTATTATTAGCATTAATAACAATATAATAATTAGTTTTGTTTCATTTGTAGTTGTAGTTGGAGCAAAAAAGTAAAATTCAAATAACTTATTTGAATTTTTTTTTATTTGTTGAAGAATTATTTTTGTTAGTATTGTAAATAATAGTAATAACAATTGTAGTAGTACAGGTGTTTTTGCATTAGTGCCTGTGTTGTAGTAGTAATTGACACCAGAAAACAAATAATAAACTATTTAAAAAAAATTTAATGTATTCATTTTTTATTGTTCATAGTAGAAATTCTAGTAATAGTAACAGTAGTACAAATGAAGTATTAATTCTTAAGTAGTAAGTAATTAGTAACGGTAGAAACTGTGGCCCTAGTGCCTGCACAAAGTACAAAATCAAAAAAATAAAAAACAAAAAAAAAATTATTCTTGTTACACTACTATTAAATAGTATAAATCAAATTTAGCACTATTATTATTACTAACAATAAAAGTAGTATGAGTTGTAGCGTAGTATTAATATTGATAGCTTTAATAACACATAATAATAACAAATCCTTGATAGGTTTGATAACTGCGACAGTGACAGTGCTACGCTGAAATTCGTTGTTGTAGTATTGTTAATCGTTGACATGAAAACAGCAACTGAGAAACAATCTCATCTCAGGATACATTTAATAACTGTTCTGGGGCTTTTAATTTGGCCTACACTACATGATCAGAACACAAAGATGACAACCACAACTACAACTGCAGCTACGAGCAGCTAAACGGGCCTCAGGGTGGGATTGTTTTGTCTCCTGTATATTAACTGTGTAGTATTAAAGTTGTTCATATATCTTGAATACAAATGTGGTAAACAGTTTTGGTCAAGTGATGAATTACTTAAATTTATATTTCCTATCATATTTATGAACTACAGGCATGCCTATGTGTAATGTGTAATGATTTTAGTTCGATACAGCTTAGGTCACTTTAGCAGTGTGTAAAGTGTGTGTGTGTGTCTCCTGTTGCGATGTGATGTGAGTGAAAAGCCAACTGATCAGGACTGGTGCTGTAATCTGGTACATTTGCTCCCCACCATCAAATGAATTGATACCTGATCATAGTCCATGAATAACAGACACACACACACACACACACGCACACTTCCTATTGTCACTTACCAGGTCCCTACATAGACTTACATTTGTTTCCAGGAGACTTACCCTAAACGGAGGCTGGTCCCCACAAATTACTTCTGGTCCCCGCGAAGATAGTAACTCATGGATTTTGGGTCATGCGATTATAGAAAAACAATGCCACACACATACACACACTCGTGTGAAGTCCCCGTGTACCACACTTACTGAAGATAATAGCTTTATCAATACGATACAGTAGTTCAATAGCCGATCATCGTCCTTGAGCCTCGCAGACACACTGCTGTTTTCAGTTCACCCCAGTCAGATATTTGCCACTGGGTAGGTGAGAGTGTGTGTGGTTAGAAGTGAGCCAATGATAAATGAGAGTAAATAATGGGGGGCTGGGGGCGTAGTGTGCCAGCTCATGACCCAGAGAGATAAACAGAAAGTGAGAGTTGGCCAGGCAAGGTAGGACAGGAGGGTGTGGTAACGGAGGGAGCATTTAGTGTGCAGCGCTGGCCGAACCGGCGCTCTGATTGGCTGGTGAGACTTTGACAGACGTGCTTGTTCCCCCCTTCCAACTGCCTGCTGAAAGTATATGTATGTATGTGTGCGTGTGTGTGCGAGGGAGCCGACAGACTGAAGCGAGCCACAGAGGCAGGCTGGAACTCCAACCCAATGAGCTCGCAGCCCTCACACTCACACACACACTCTCCTCAGTGCCGGCGCTCGTTTCAAGCCTGGGACACAGAAGAAGAGGGAGAGCAGAGAGAAACAGCGAGTGGCAGAGAGGGAGAGTGAGGGTGAGGGAGCAAGAGAGGAGAGAGGGAGAGAGAGGCAGAGGGAGACTGGCGGGGTGTGAGGTAGAGCACCATGGCTTCAGATCCGGGGCTGGCTGCGATGCTGCTATGGACTATATCACTACATGCTCTGGGCACGGCGGGAACCAGCAGCAATGAAGGTAAGAGTGTAAGTGTGCTCGTTTGAATAGACAGAGTTAATGCATGTTCTCTGGCAGTGGGGATTAACTTCATACATGTGGAGCTCCTGGAAAACACACTGAATGAACCAAAGCATGACACACACCTACAAATGTAAACACACACTCACAGATGGTGCTGTGCTTGTGTTTCCTAACACGCAGCGTGACATCAAAGTTTGCACTGCACAGCTACTCAAGGAAATCAGGGTGATGTGTTTGTGTGTGTGTGTGTGTGTGTGTGTGTGTGTGTGTGAACTCATCTTGACATTGCTCATATTTGACCAGGTTGCGTGTCAGCTGCAGTAACAGCGCATGTGGCTACTGTGGGTTTAGGCAGTGACGTGAAATTGTGTAAGAAAGTGTGTGTCTGCGCTGAGTCCCTGTGTGTAATCTGAAGTGAACATCTTTATGAATTTCACTTGTGTATTTCCCCATGAGCTTCTTACAATACAATGTGTGTGTTTTTATATGTGCACACATCCCAGTTTGCTCCCTTAAGGCTTGGTTTGTTTACTTTCATCCTCTTGTCCTTTGTCTTTCCACCATGAGATGGAAAAGTGTTGTTCTCACTTGTTCAGCTAATGCTGCACACATGACAAAGTCCCTTGGCACCTTTCTTTAAATGTGTGTCTGCTTTTGTGCGTATGTGACAGGGTCCTTGACATAGGTCTGGTCTCGGGTGTCTGAGTGACAGCAGCGATTCCACTGTTAGGGCCTTATATGCCCCTGACAGCAGCATTCAGCTTACCACCGCAGGGAAAAAAGCAGCAGCAGAAGAAGAGATAGTGGGGAAAAAAAGAGCAAGATCAGTACTTTGGTTCAGGTGGGATCACCTCAGCAGCGGGGAAGTGAGGGTAGCCACTTATCCTGTATTATGCTCTGTAAAGTCGGGATGGAAGAGTCGGGCCGCCTTAGGTCAGACAGAGCAGGAGGTACAGACCGACGGCCCAGTTGAGACATCCACATGTGTTGCCTCAGTGTTCACCACATTTATAAACCACCATTAAAGTCCAGTGTTATTTACATGTCAGATTTTATTCCCTTCTCTACCCCACTGTTCCTGTTTGGACTGTAATTTCACTTCCTGGCATCCATATCAAGTGTCCACATCTTTCTCTTTGCTATTCATATTCATGCCACCTCTCTTGTAAAGATCGTTGCCCTTTGCTGATGAGCAATTCCATGAGATTAGATAAATAAAGGGAGAAGACGCACTTTATTTTTGTCCCATCTCTTACTCTGTGCTCACTGAATCTAAGACACTGTTTTAAGTTATGCTTTCATCTCGGTCCTTACTGAATGAAAAGCGGAACTGATGGTGTCAATTTAGGTGTGAAAGTAAATGTTAAAAATACTAACTTTCGTTATGAAAAGCCTAATTTTTAATCAGTCATTTTTCCATCCATTTGTCTGCAGGTCTCACTGTGTTTTCATGAAGTATAAATGCAGCGGGGTCAGTCGTTTGAACTTCTAAGTTATGCACAATCTGCTTTTAAAAACTAGAAAAGCTACAACAAAATAGTATTTGTTCTGCAAAGCTATTTAAATTGACAATGTAATTGTTTTAATCAGTGCGATTTGATCACATAGAATCAGCATTTTTCAAGCTAGTGAGGCATAATTTTAAACCAAATGGTCCGCTTCGTAACACGAAAATAGGCTTGTCTATTTTCTGCTTATCTTTACTGGGTTTCATAAAATGCTATATTTAGGATCTTTGCTTTTATTTGACATTTGACTGCAATCAAACTGCTGCAGTTTATAATGTATAGCATCGCAGGTATATCTTTAGCATTTTAACTGTTAGGCTGCAAGGACGCCCTTAAGTCTTTTAAATGCGGTATTTTTTAATCCTAAACTGTTTCCTAAAAGAAAGAAAATTTAGTGTTTCAGAATTGGAAGTCCCTCTAAAACAGCAATTAGGCATCGGACACTAAATTGAATCCTTTTGAAAGTGTTATTCCTATTACTAATAATAAAATAATTAATGTCAAAAATATAATAGTTTCACAAATGGTCTTCTGTGCCCTTTTTTATGGTCAGACCATTGTACACAGACATTAAACACAGTGTTGGAGATTTGTGAGTAGAAATGTTAAACGGTTTTCTATGCCCTTCCATTTGTTCTGACATGAGCCAAGAAGCATGCAGCTTGAAGAAATGGGGGGTCTTTTTCAAAAAATTTTAATTAATGTGAATAAATATGTTGATTTCTATTCACACCAGTTCATCCTAGAAACACATTCTCACTCCATGAAAAAAGTCACCAGAGCGTAATATAACAATCCTCAAAATTAGATTTTGCTCTTATCCCACACACTAATTAATCTAAATACGAGATAAACAAATCAGTATTTCAACATCCAGTAGAACAACCTCTGTTTTTCTTCTTTTTGGAAGAGATTAAGGGAGTAATTGTAATTATGTCCAAAGCTAACAGCTAATATCTAAAGGATAACTGTTTTTTTCCCCATTTCTCTCAGTGTCCCATTGCTTTCAAAATTGACTGTGCTGAAAATTTAATTTGTCTTCTGTGCTTTGGCTTGGCTGCGGTCCGACTTGAGGGCAATTACAAATATTACATGTACATGGAAGAGATAGTCTTTTGAATGTAGGAAAAACTGGAAATTAAATTGAAAGAAGAACAGGTAAATGCTCATACAATCATGCAGAGCTCTGCTGGACAACACACACACTGCTACACACACATAAGGCTTAAGAGGACTAACACAAGACAGATGCTTTGACTGACTTTTGTACAGTACATACATTTGATGTACAAGGCAGAGCCACCGACGGCCATTTTGTTTTTGTTCATTGTTCATGTGTGCAGGCATATTCATCTTGTATAGATACATACAGACGGCCAGAACTGTGTCCATACACACCACTACTCACTGACACAATTAGGTTTTGAATCATATGTGTGCATCTTCAATCTTTTTCACATCATAACTCAAGCATTTTTCAAACCCTGTCATTCATTTATTTGCACTGGGATACTGTGTGTGTGTGTGTGTGTGTGTGTGTATACACATACGGGTGTATGGTAAAGAGGGGTCAGAGCTGGAAGAACAAAGAGACAGAGAAAACTAGTCTTAATATTGTGACATCTCATAACATGTTTGCATATTTCTTCAACAGGAGACATGAAGTATCCAATCTTGCAATCAATCTGTTGTGCGCCTGAGAGACACGGTTATTATAATAGAATCCGATTGCGGCTTTATTTTTCTATCCAGGAACAGAAAAGAGAGAATGATCTGGGATCAGTAAGAGACAGCAAGGACTCAGCTCAGCTTACCCACACATTTCATTCACAGGGACAGAGTTTAGTGAAAATCATTACTTTCTTTAAGTGAATCCACAGTGAAAATCATAGTAAGCCCTGTGATGTCAGGGGTAAACTTAGGACAGTTGAGTTACTAATGTATTTTTATAAAAACTAAAACATACTATGCAAAAAGTGCTCTATGTTGCATCCTGTTGCTGACCCATGAAAGCTGCATATATCGGAACATTTCATAAGTTAACATAAGCAAGTCTGTTTTAGTTTGTGACAAAGCTCTTTTCAGAAAATCCCATGTATTTTATAGGACTGAGGATTTATTCAGTGTGCAAATGAACACTTTCAGTTTATCTACTAGTTTTAAACATAGGACAGATTTTGTTACTTTGACTGAACAGCAGCAATACTGTTACTCTCTTCTGTAACCTATTTAAAATAAAATAAAAAAATGCTCCAAAAACAGTTACAATTTAAGATTTAGGGTTTTCATAATTATACTTCTTCAAAATGTTATTGTGGGAGGTTTGACATAAAGTAGCAGTGTGTGTGATATACTGTATGCAAACCAGTTTCTGTGACTTCATTATTATTATATTTGATCGTATAGAGACCAAAAGTGTTCAAACTTTACTCAGTATAACAAAGTATAAAACTATTTATAACTATTGAATAAATGCAAATAATACATGTGAAGTCATTAAAGTGTGAAATATTCAAGCATTCTTCAAATGTGGTTTGAATTATGACTAAATGTTATTATGCGTTTTGTCTCATTCTAGCAGTTTTTGTTTCAGTGCCCAGCTTTATCTAACATCTTTCCCCCATTTTCAACAGCGTAGAGGCGGTTACCATCATTTGGATTGAAATCTTTTGCAATGAAATGAAAAATGACCTGCAATAAGAATTATGCATTATATTGGATTGTTTTACAAATGTATTATTATATTACAGGCATTTGTATTTATATGAGTATGTTTATTTTATAATGTGTTATTTATTTAATCTGAATTTTGTGCGCCTTTATAGGAAGCAGCATTTTCATGCAGTGGAATAGCACATTTGACATTAACTAGCGATCAGCTGTATTCTTATCATTGTTGGCCGAGCACTCATAGGGAGCAACAAATGAAGACCAATCTCGCTGTATACCCAGCAGCTCCCACTTTTGTTGGGAGTGTGTACTGAATCATTTGCCTGTATGGAGGTGGCGGTTTCCCAGAGCAGCCCCTCCTGTCTGCAGGCACTGTCCCTAATTCAGCTCCCGTACAATGTTTCACACCATTGCTTGCCCAGCAAGGGAAGAGAGTGTTTCTTTAGGTTGTTGATAGTACTGAAGAACATGAAAAAGCCCATGCAGAGAGCCGGACTCGCTGCTAATGAGCAAACTGTAGGTGGATGATTATTACCACACATACCTCTGCTGCGGGACCAACGGGGGAAAGAGACATAGAAGCAGGAAACAATGAACATCAGCAAAGATTATAACTATTTTTTCCATTGTTTTAACCCCGTGTTGTGTTGCAATTCACTTTACACTGCCATTGGTTGGGGTCATATTGACCCACACAATTTAAGAGTGAAAATAATCATTACAATTATTATGTTAACCGATTTCTATTGGATACTTCATATTTTCTCAAATTCTCCTGAGCTTATAAAAAAATATTTTACCACTAGCCATTTGTTTTAG